AGGGCGGACACCAGCAGTGACAGACCTGGGAGACAAATGAATAGAAACGGTACATGGCCAGCGGAAAAGGGCGGACACCAGCAGTGACACACCTGAGAAACAAATGAATAGAAATGTAGCAGCAGAAAAGGGCGGACACCAGCAGGGCAGACCTGGGAGACAATTGAATAGAAATGCTACATGGCCAGCGGAAAAGGGCGGACACCAGCAGCGACAGACTGGGAGAAATGCTACATGGCCAGCGGAAAAGGTGACAGACCTGGGAGACAAATGAATAGACATGCTACATTGTCAGCGGAAAAGGGCGGACTAGCAGTGACAGACCTGGGAGACAAATGAATAGAAACGCTGCATGGCCAGCGGAAAAGGGCGGACACCACCAGTGACAGACCTGGGAGACAAGTGAATAGAAATGTTGCAAATGAATAGAAATGCTAGATGGCCAGCGGGAAAGGGCGGACACCAGCAGCGACTGGGAGACAAAAGAATAGAAATGCTACATGGCCAGCGGAAAAGGGCTGACACCAGCAGTGACACACCTCGGAGACAAATGAATAGAAATGCTACATGGCCAGCGGAAAAGGGCGGACACCAGCAGTGACACAAAGGTCGGACACATCTTAAGAAAGAATTGAGAACCCCTAACAGTAAACTGTTTGGGGAAAAAACTCACACCAATGAAAGTGTACACGTTTAAACTTTAAAGGGTATTCTTGATGAGCACTCTGCGACTGGCGGCAAAGCCAACAAGCAAAAAAGAAAACTCACATGAACCAAAATTTCAGAGACCCGTCGGATTCCGAGGCTATCTTCAAAAAGACTCCAAACGTGCAAAAACGATGTTCCGATGTGGCGGTTTTGGCGCACCCGCACGCGGAGCAGGAGTTGTTACATACAAGCTCGTGTGATGAACTGTTCATCTAGGAGAGGAGGATTTTCTCGCATGGAACTGCATCCGCAAATCAATTGTGCAGGCTTTTGGCTCAGGGTCTGGTCACGCAATGTTTCATATTCTTTTTGTGGGGGGTCTTGCAATTGAATTCATGTCGGCGTCTGCACAAAAGCGAGGTGAAGAGCTAGACTTGAACATTGGCCCCTATTGGCTTGGTGTATGCAATAAGCCTAGACTCATAAACATACGCATGTTTAAATTCATCAAGCATGTCGCATGGGCCTTGTGTTTCGGTTGGCATCGATGTACGGGTGGTTTCGCGGAGACTCAGCGCCTAACCCTTCATGTCAAAGCGCGCTCAGGAGGTGTGCCCAGCATTTTGTCCAGTGCCGAGGGCTGATCATGAAGGTCTTGCAATTTGTCGAACGGTCCACTTCAAAGTTGGGAACGCACTTGCCAACTTGCTAACCATTTCTGCTGGTTGGACTTGAAAACTGCAAATGTTTGGCAGAAATAAGTTTTGCTGCCTTATCTCAGGGCCAATGATGATGTTTCTGACAATGCTTTTGTTGACCTCTGGGAACTAGGGAACGCTTGCAACAAGAAAGGCATGGTATAGTACAGTGTTGATTTTTTCTGCTGCCAAGGCACACGGGAAACAAATATTATACAGTGAGGTCATGGGGATGGTGAAAAGAAAAGAAGAACATCTCCCGAAGGAAGTGCCCATTTGGCACCCCACCGTGTGAAGGAAAAGCAAAACAGCTTAACTAGGAATTTGGATGTCTAACAATAAATACTGCATCATAGAATCCTATCCGTTCTGTTATGCGCACCCTGTTCTTGCAGTCTTTTCGTTTGATTTGGCAAATACAATCCAAGTGTCATGCAGCCCTTTTTGCCGCAGCCCCCCTGCCCCGTCCCCTTCCCCCTTGCCAATTCCCACTCTGCATGCATCAAAAAGTTCTATCACCAGCCTCTGATCCAAGCTGTGCGCTCAAAATGTCCACATAGTTGCTCTCCTTTGATAGCATGAGTGTCACGCACTTTGACAACAAACTGCCGTGGAGTCCTGTTTTTTAAGTTCCATTTGCCAAGTATACTTTGCCTTTCTGCGGTTATGAAAATCCATGAGAGACTGTTCCTGCTCCAGGTCCAACACACCCTCAAAGCTGCAGTGCGTCAGTGGCGGCGCACTGCTGGCACGTGCCTAACGCACAAAAAGAAAACTGAACCCATGCGGAATGAGGCAAAACCTCACCAAACAAACCAATGACACCAAGTTTGGTGAAGTTTTTGCAGGTTTCCCCGTGTGCAAACACGTGACAACACGCCTGAGCACCCAAATGTGTGTCATCAGCGATATCGATAAAGCTGTTGCGGAACCTCAGCAGTCAAGTACTCTGGCCATCACCACCGCCACCACTATCACCATCACCTAAACCAAGCATGGCCACTACCATCACAACTGTGACGGCAGCAGCAGCAGCAGCAGCAGCAGCAATAACAAATGACCACTTAACCCCTGCCTCAACACCATGACTTCTGCCATTGCCTGCGGTGGGCGGCCACAACATAGGTTTGGTTCCTGACTGCATCTTTTCGAAGAAAGGCCCCACCTGTTGCCAAAGACTGGTGACAATTGGCACCCGCGTTCGCTGCTTTGAGCTGAAATCTGCTACGTGCCGGTGACACACCGGTTGGCCATAAATAGGCTTAGTACTTTCCGAAGGACGGTGTCAGAGGTTCCTCATGCAAAAGGTTGATTGTCTGTCCATCACGTCACAGCGCCTATTAAATTACAAGTGTGTGCGTGTACCCCTTGCAGTCACAGGGATCCACTTGGATTGCTTGGTTGACTTCTTCTTCTTTTTATGCGGGGGACTGTCTACTAGGGGCCCCTGGCATCGCTATTAGGAGCAAGAACGCTACTAGGGGCTCCCAGCTCCCAGCATCGCTACTAGGAGCAAGAACGCTACTAGGGGCTCCTGGCGATCGATCGTTCGATGGTTCCTTTAGAGTTGATGGCCACGCTGAACTTGACGGACCTCCACTTCCTTTTCAGGTTTCCTTACCTGTACCCTTAGGACATGGTAACCTAGGCCTCCGTGTGGCACCGCTTTCCGTTCAGTACACCCTATCCTAAGTGTGCCTCTCCTAGTGAGAGCCCGGGATGAGCCCGCAGAGTGCCTCCCGTGGACCCGTCTAACGGGTGTATGTCTTTGTTTCCCTTGCTTTGGAAACGCACGTGCCAGTGGGCGAAGGTGGCCTAGGCTGAGAAAAAATTGAATTTTGTCTCATTTTGGAATTCCAAGCTGGCTCATGCCTCTACGTGACCGCAGCGGTCAAAGCAGCCAGCCATCTTGGCACGGCGTACGTGGCCATAGGGGCCCAAGTTCGTTTAGACTCATTGGAGTCCGTCGAATTCTTAGGTGCACACACATTGTACACACTTAAACGAGGCGGGTCTTCCTAGGTCGTTGTAATGAGGTCTGGTTTCATCGGTTCCCGTCCCCTCCATTTGGTTCCCTTTTTCATCCGTTCCCCATTCACGCACTTTTTTTTTCTTTTCATGTCTTCCCTTGCTTCATGTCTTTTCATCTCACTCCTTTCTTTCTCTTGCGCACACAACGGTCCTTGCCTTAGTTTGCACGCGCACACCCACTTTCAAACTCAGGTTAAGGTCGCCCAGGTGTTGTCCTTGTGCACTTGGTTTCTCCTTCATCGCAACCCACACATACTTTTGTCCCGTCTCGTCCTCCCTCTCATGTCTTCATCCTTTTGTCTTTGTTGCGCGCACATTTACACATTCGTCCTAGCCTTAATTTTGCCTCCCCTCAGGGAGGCGTGTGTGTGTGTGTACCCCTTGTAGTCACAGGGATCCACTTGGATTGCTTGGTTGACTTCTGTTTCTTTTTATGCAGGGGGACTGTCTACCCCACAGAAGTGACAGTCCAACGAAGAGGCTTCTGTGGCGGTACTGATATCACTGGAGACGTCCAGTGACGTACCTGCAGTTTTACTTGAGAAATTTCATGTTGGGCCCTGCTTGTAACTAGAACAAGAAATCCAGCCTTTGCATCGGTTTGCTCACAGCAGTCACGCATATATAGGGCTTTGGTTTTTGACTTGCAGATGTGAGCGGACGACGCCATTCTGTCGATCGATCGTTCGATGGTTCCTTTTGATGGCCACGCTGAACTTGACGGACCTTACCTGTACCCTTAGGACATGGTAACCTAGGCCTCCGTGTGGCACCGCTTTCCGTTCAGTACACCCTATCCTAAGTGTGTGACACCCTGGGAACCATAGGGGGCCCTTTGGTCTTAAAAACAAGGAAACACGGATCTCCCATAGAGACAGTTCCGCTCGAGGCGTACACACGTGTTTCAAGCACATGAGCCAACACCAGTTGTGACACAATCGTTGCATGTGCTTGCCAAGAACCCTAGGGTCACACAAATGAAACGTTTCCAGAATTTGCATCGAAGTTCACATTCTGGACTGGGACTTATATATATTTTTTTAATACCTGTCAGTGACTCCGCAAAGCAGCCTTTTTGTTTTTGTATTGCGCGTGTGGGGGTCGAAGTCACTTACGTTCCGAAAAGTACACGGGCAAAAATACAGGAACCAAAACCTAGTTTCATCTGGAATCCTTTCCTGAATTACGTCCTAGTCATGTGTGCCGCTGCGTGGGCCCGATCCCGACATGTGAGAAATAGCGCTCGGTCGATCATCCGAAACCCGCTTGTCCAGGCTCAGGAAGTTGTTTTGCCACCCCGGCCCGGTGGTAGAATGCAGCTGCTGTGGCCCAAAACCATGCTGAAGCAAAGCCTTGCACCGGTTGTGTTGTCATTGCACAGCCCAATCTTGTCTGCATTCACCCTTGATGCCGGAAATAGCCTCGTCCACGAGTTCTACGTTGCACATGCCGTTGAAGTGCAGTTTTGGCCATTGAACGGCGGAGAAGACTGTTGGTGTTAGACAGCACTCGAAATCCGTCAATGTTTTTTTCTCAAATTCAACTTCACTGCCGCTCGAAAAATATTTTGGGTGTTCCGGTCGCTGACAAGTGAGAGCGCGCATAGGACTCCCCGGACTCCCCCGGCTGCAGGCACGGAAAAAAAAATAACACACACACACACACACCCCACAAATATGACAAATTCAACATGGGTTCGTCGTTTCACATCTCCCAGCTGCCACCTTCTCAGATATATTCCGGAAAAGACCTGTGATGGGGCCATCCTAAAATTCAATTTGCGTAGCACGTGTTTGCTTCATGTGTTCTATAATCTATATATACTGGAAAAACGTTTCCAAACGCAGGGTTGAACAGCAACGGACCCGAACATCGCCTGAATGGGGTGTGGGCCCCGTCAACGTTGAAAGCGCTGGACAGGGCGGCTCAGGATCCAAACGGTATACAATTTAAAAATTGCCTTGCAATCTGGGGGCGTAATGCGCCCATGCTCACGGTCAGACTGGGCAACAGCAAAAGTTCACAAGGAATAGGTGGACCGGTTGGGTTCCGTGGCACCCGGTTTGTTTCAAAACCGGGTTTGCATCCCCCAAAAACATTCAGCAAAATTGTTGATTTTCGGGTGCCGCATTCCTTCTGGAAAAAGGAATCCGAAAACGATGACAAATTCAGCAAGCACATAACAGGATGACGCAATCAACATATGCGATCGTATTCGGCCTTTTGCGGGACAATTTTTCTTGGATGACCGTGTGGACATTTTGGCTCAAAAGGACGGTTTTGGCTCAAATACAAGTACTGGCACGTTTGATGCACACATACATATGTTAAAGGACACGCGCCATGGACAACATCGGTGTGCAGAACAGTAACAAAAAGCGTACTTGGCCAACACATTTTTGAGCAAAATTGGAAGCACCTCGAAGAAGAGACTTCACGCAAACCTTGCAACAATATAAGCTCAATGAACATTTTGACGTTGACCAACAACAACAACAACAAGGACCATAAACCGTGGAGAGCGGGAAGCAAGCAAGGCACCACAGCCATCAAGAAAATATCCAAACCGATGGAGCCTGAAACCACCTTAAAAACAACACCGCCATTGGCATATCTACAACAGCTCTTTTTCACCGGGGCTACCAAAGCAGAGAAGGGCCTCGAAACAAAACAAAACAAAACAACAACAAAAAACCAGTCGCGGGCATCCTGTCACAACATTGAAACCGGCCTGTTCGATTTCCTTGCATGTGGATTCCACAATGTGGATTCCCCTTTGGCTCTGCCTTGCGTTTTTTGCACTCTTTCCCTCTCACTCGCCAAATGGCTGGGCACCAGCCTCTCGATTTCGATTTGACTGGCCCCGACTCCTCTGAAGCAGGAGAAAACATCCCTCCACCCGCGCCCATGCACTTTATGCTTGGGCCCGGTCCAGGCCTCCAACGTCGCCGAGCCAAGCTTCAACACCTCTTGCACCTGGGGCCGCTAGCTGTGGCCCCTGACACAGAAGCACGTCTCCAGCAACTTTGCCAACACCACGGCGTCCTCATCCCCGACGCAGCCCGGCACACCCACCCTGACCAGGCATCGCAGTTCCAGCACCGCCGGCCAATCTGTTGCCATTATGTTGTCACCGGCTGATCCTCGTCGACCCGGCCCATGCAGAATCAGATGCGGCGTGGCGGGAACTCGGGGAACGGGTGGCAGCACGGACTGGCGGACAGGTGGCGACAAGAAGTGCCCCTACAACACCCACGTTGAACCTCCTCGACCCCTCCGGCCTGCCACAAGCCCACCCAGACCGCCCCCACCAGTGCTGCCACCGCAGCCAGTTGACAACCATGTTTTTTCCACCGCACCACGCCAACTCCAACAAGCATAAGCAGCGTTGGACACAATTGGCGCGAGCTCGCATCCACGGCCTCGTCGTCGGCGATGCTTGGTGTCCCGCAGCTTGGTGTCCCGCAGCCTGCCAGCTTCCAAGGGCATGTCACCAAATTGCCCTATAGACCCGGGCGGGATTGGAAGCCGCGGTCAAAGCTTTGGTCGCCAGCGCGTGTCGGTTGATGGCATTGGGCCAAGTGTCCACATCTTTGACAGGGTTCTTGCAAGTGCCTTTGGAAGCTGACCAGTGCTTGCCCTTCATCTGGCTGTTTTTTGCCGACCTGTCACGCTATGTCTGCCACGACCAACCGGGCACACCCCACACCATGATGTGCTCAAGGGATCTCCAGATGTGCAAATTCCAGGGCCGACTAACCCGAGAGGCTAAAAATTGAACAGCCCTGAAACGCACGGCGATGGAAAAACCCGCCGTTTGGTCGTTGGCGGAGGGTGGAGCTAAGAAACCCCGCCTTCGTTGGCTCACTCGCCCGGCACAAACCCCAAGCGGTACCAGCCATCTCTCGCCATCTCTTTCGCTCTGCCGCTCACCATGCCATTCTTGGGTTTGACATTTGCCTTCAGCCTCCTTCAGCCCCCGCGCGACTACCTCCACCCAACATCGACGCCCCAGAACCTCACCTCGGCCAGAACCTCACCTCGGCGACCTGCTCCTCAGTGCCTAACCGCCTGGGCCCTTCCCCCAGCCTCCTTCTCGGCCACTACTACCCCTTGGACTGCACATCTGGAGGCTGGCGACTATAGAAAAACCTTCTCGCTGACACGTGTTTTTTTCCCTTTGACTAGGCGCAAG